AGGATATTGCATTTGAGTGTCTGATTCTTTTGACAGTCTGTTATGGCCTTATCTGATACTTTGATTATCAATTTTTGATACCAATATTATACTGTGTTAACGGGGGGCAGAAATCCCTTAAAAGACCCTAATGATACATGATAGTACCTCAGTATGTTTCCAGTGTTGTTGCTTTTTCATGTCTTCATAATTTACAAAACATTTAAATGTGTTTCTTCTGAGGAGAGTGTATATGGTCGCCTCTTATCTAGGACCTTTTGTATTCCTGCAAATACATTGCGGTGTATTGCTTAAGGTCTAGTAGGCTGAACAATGAACAACTATAATAGCAAAGATAATATAGAATAGCAATAACATCTTGCAGGCATCCTGTGGAAACAGGCTGGAGAGGGATATTAAAATAGTATTTTGGGGTGTGTCATGTACTCTCCTATTTTTCCATTGTCATGTGTGTTTTTTTTAAATCTTATTGAGTTTATTGGTACTTTTTAAGTATAGAGTACAGTTACATTCATCACTGGGATCTTATACATGACAGATCTTGGTTCTCATTTTTATCCCATATCCCTGCCTTCCCTTCACCTCCTCTATCCTCTCCTATTTACAAAGACTTACTTTCCATTTTTTCCTTTTCTCATATTTTTTCTTATCTCTTATTTCCTTTCCCCTACCCTTCCTCCTTCCCCTATACCTTTAGCCCTTTTCTTCCTATTTCACATTATCAGTTATACAATTTGGATTTTATTTACACTTTTATTTTTTCACACCAGAGAAACTATTCAGTATTTACACGTGTGTCTTATTTATTTCACTTAAGAATATGGCCTCAATATGCATCCATTTTCCTATGAATGACTCTAGTTTCTCATTCTTTATGGCTGAGTAGTATTCTATTTTATAGAAAAACCACATCTTCTTTATCCAGTCTCCAACTGATGGGCAATTGGGTTGTTTCCAAGTTTTAGCTATTACAAATTATGCTGCTATAAACATGGGTGTGCTGCTATAAACATGGGTGTGCATATATCACTGTGGTGTGATTCTTTTACTTCTTTAAAGATACTCAGCAGTGGGATGGCTGGGTCAAATGGAGCCTCTAATGCTAATACTTTGAGGTATCTCCATATTGATTTCCATAGTGGTTGCACCAGTCTGTACTCCCACCAACAATGGAGACGGGTTCCTTTCTCCCTACAACCCTGCCAACATTTGTTATTGGTTGATTTATTGATAGCAGCCAATCTTTCTGGGGTTGAAGTTGAATCTTGTTTTCATTTGCATCTCTTGAATGACCAGTGATGCTGAACATTTTTTCCATATATTTATTTGGTGCTTTTACTTGTTTGTCTGAGAAATGGCTGTTCATTTCAGATGCCCATTTTTGAATTAGTTCTTTATAGTTGGGGGGCCTGAGTTTTTGAGTTCTTTATATATTCTGGACCAAAGTCCTTTGTCTGAGGAGCAGCTGGTATAAATTTTTTCCACACTATAGGTTGTTTCTTAGCTCTGTTGGTGGTTTCTTTTGCAGTGCAGAAGCTTTTTAATAAAATGAGATTCCAATTGTTGATTTTTATGCTAGTTCCTGTCCTACTCAGGATTTGTTTATAAAGTCTTTTCTTATTCCAATGTCTTCAAGAGTTTTGCCTAACATCTTCCAGCAAGTTTAGTGTTTCTGTTTTAATATTTAGATCTTTAATCCACTTGGATTTTAGTTTAGTGCATGGTGAAAGATAAGGGTCTAGTTTTAATTATTAATTTCAAGTGTTTTTGTAATCATCTTCTGGTTTCATAGGCTTCATTATATCTTTTTATCAATTGTCAGAATAAGAAGCCATTGGCTAAATTATATAGTAATATAATTGTATATTAATTATATAATAAGCTACCATCTCAATTTGTATGCATGGCTGCTTGATAGTATCTATCACAAAAGACTGCCAGAACCACAACCTTGCACCAAGGCAACTACAATCTTACACAAAAACTATTTCTGTGAGGACATCCATCCAGGAACTATTCAGTTTTGACTGGCACTGCCTTCATTATTGGTTCTTGTGACCAAGGATCATTCTTTTAAAATATGTAATCCTCCTTGGTTTGCCTTTAAAAACTTGCCCTTACCTCAATCTTTTTAAATATACTCTGTTTACTATGGCATATATTTTTTCCATTGCAGTGCTCTGCCATACCAAATGAGTATCATTATCCTTGGGGAAATATCTCACTGACAGTTATTTGTGGTGTAAAATGAATACAATACTTTTGTCCATGTTTTCTGACTAATACATTCTTTATTATTATATTATTATTTCATATTAGCTATCATATACCTTTCAAACTACTTGAATTTTTCTTTTATTTTCTAAGAGTTTTCATTGTATTGTTTATCCCATGATATATAATTGTCAAAAGAAACCAAATCATTTGTCCTATGAATCTTCCACATTCTGTATTTGGTTGAATGTATCCTCTTTATGTTGTTTGATAGACTCTTCTATATTCTTTTCCCATATTAATAACTGATAGGTCTAAGATTTGCTTAGATACAGGTCCTTGGCTTATAAATCATAGGCAATATATTGTATCACACCAAGAAGAACATATCTGGTTGGTCCACTTTTAGTAAGATTCAGATTGATCAGTGGGTTTAGCTGTTGTAAGTCTGATCCATTCATTGTAAAATTCCCACCATCCTTCTGACTAATGCTTTAGCAGTTATGACAATCATTGCCTAGATCCATTGTTTAACGGGCCAAAAATGGTGATCTTTAGGGCTGGGGATTTAGCTAAATGGTTTCACTGCTTGCCTTGCAAGCACAAGGACCCACGTTTGATTACTGGTACCAAAAGAAAAAAACAATGGTGATTTTCTAACTCTACCATTTATCTAAAATTTGTTAGTTTTGATTTTTCTATAAAATATCTAATATATATGTATATATATACACACACACACACACACACACATACATACACAAAATATATTATTTTCCTAATCAATTTTGGTTTTCCTGAATGGATAATCATTCCTTAATGGATAGAAATGGCAGGAAAAGGTTTATTTCCCCCCTTTATTAATTTTAGAGTAAGTGATGCCTACCAACCTCCAAAAGTGCTTACTATTTTTAGTGAAATACTAGGTTTTTACTATTTGATGTGTTTCAACATATTTGAAAAATTTTAAGTCAAGTGAATTAAAAAGGAAAATGAGTTCTATTTCAAACACTCATACCCGAAATGTCTGGGTAGCCTGGATGGTTCAGTTTTATAACTTAACTCAACTTGCTGAAAGCAGTTTGAATTGGACTAGAGCCTGCATTTCTAGAAAGTTGTTCTATCCATTTTTCCATCTCAGCCCAGAACTGAAATTTTGAATTTTGTAAAAACAAATTAATTTTTCAATTGTGGGTTTTTTCCTTTAGTCACACTGATGATATGAAGTTTATCTCTGAAATTCCTTCTTTTTGCTGGAACTGTCACCAGTGAATGAGCAGGAGAGCAGATGGAATTTAGGTGCAATTCAAATTTGCAGAATATAGTATGGGTGAACAAGAGTGATGAAAATAGAGGTTTTTTGCCTATTTATTATTGCTCTGCTTACTTACAGAGTTGAGGTGAAGAATTTTTTACTAAGTTTAAAAGTCCACAACTACCAATCATGTAGTTTTTTCCAATCATAAGTTTTATTTTGTATTTTATTTGTTTGTTTGAGACAGGGTCTCATTATGTGGTTGAGAGTGACCTGGAACTCACTATGTAGCCCAGGCTGGTCATGAACTCACAGCAATCCTCCTGCCTCAGCCTCCCAAGTGCTGGGATTACAGGCATGCGCCACCACGTCTGGCCCCCCAGTCATGTGTTTTAAACAGCAGTGACTTAATATGATTTAAGTAATACAAAGAAAAAATAATGAGAAAGTCACACCATGCAGTGATAAGGTCAGTGAACCATGAAGTCAGAAAACTCTAGTTCTATTCACTTAACAAAACTTTAAAGATGTAATGTGTACTAGACACTAGAAATTCCAAGGAGAATACTAAATAATTGCTATGGGAAAGGAGCACAATCTTGTTTTGAATCTTCCTCTTCCTTGTCAAGTTGAATCTCAGCTGGCTTTGTTTTAAATTAGTGTAGCACAGCTGGGGATTTGGCTCAGTGGTTCTGTCGCCTGCCTCGCAAGCATAAGGGTCTGAGTTCGATCCCTGGTACAATAAATAAATAAATAAACAAACAAGTGTAGCAGAGTTTAGCCACAAGCATATATATGTTCTTTTGAGCAACTTCGTAGCTGTTAAATTATGGGTTGTACTTACACATTTAGGACATCAGATGGCACTAGGCAATCAAAACTTTCATTGACTGAAATGTCTGTTTTTGAAGTTTGAATGTGGTTTAAAAACTTTCAAGTAGAGTAAAACACATAAAATAGGCAAAATTCTAGTCTGCCCCAAGAAAATAATTACTTTTGGTTGCTAGGTAGCATTATTATTTCTAAAAATTGATAAAGAGGCAAAATAAAGCCATTATACTGTCTTCCCTACACAATCTGGGTTTCTGAATTAAACAGGGAAAAATACAAATATACCAATTAGATTAATTGGTTTGTCTACCTTCACAGATTCTTGGGGATCAAGTGTATTAAGATGAAAGGAAGAGCTTGGTAGATTGGTGTACTGCAAAAACACTTTGGGTCTAGCATTATATTTTGCCTTTATATAGCCCAAGACCAAGGCTGCCAGAGGGAGCGCACTGACGGCTCTTCTAGATCAAGTTCACAGTGACCGGCTAAAGTGTGGGTGATGTGACACCTGGGTTTAGCCTGGGGTGTGACTGCAACACAGCTGTCTTTCTGGCCCGTGCTATAGCAAACTTGGTTTCTTTTCACTCAGAGAAGTCAAAACCGACCAAGCACTGCAGAGTCACCCACGAAGTGGACCGGAAACCCAGAGTGTGTGCCTTCCCATCACTTCCGGCCCCAGGGGCGAGGGGGTGGGGCCTCGTGTAGCTCGCGGCTCGGTTGCTTCCTACAGGCTAGGCGGTGACTCTGCAGAGCAGGCTCTCGAGGCCTTCAGCCTCGTGACGCTCTTGTCACGAATTGTATTAGTATTTTTAAAGTCTCAATTTCCTCTGGCCTGCAAAGCATCCTTTTGTTTTCAAGAGAGGGGAAATTCAAGGAGAGTTTAAAAAGATTTAAATTCGAGGCCAAGATGGAGGAGGGCGCCCATGCTCCAGACTGGGATAGTGACGAAACCGTGATCGAGGGGTCTGTGGCAGAGAGCGACCTGGAAGATGAGGAGCTGCCCTGGAGAAGGTGACCGCTGCTCGGCTGTGCCATGGCATTGAGCCTGGCACTGGGCCCGCAGGGTTGAGTGAGGCGGGCTGGAGCATAGGGAGGGGCAGCGTCTGCATGTGGAAAGTGGAAAGTGGCAAGCACTGTGGCCCCTCATTCTGGTGAGGGACGGGTACACAGTGGGTGGCTTTTTGGCGTTAAGGAAAAGCCTTTGCTCTTAGACTGGGGCCAGGAGTTCTGCTGCACAGGCAGTCTTGGGTCTGAATTCCTCAGAGACACGCTCCCTCAAGCTGATTTAACAATTTCTCTCAGGAAAAGGTGTAATGGGGAAACTGGTTCCTATCACTCTATTATGGATGTTGTATTAGAATTTTTAAAAAGTTGATATTTATTGTATTCTCTGGGCCACGTGCAGGAAGAAAATTTAAATGCTGAGATTGCTACCTTTGGGAAATGTTGAGGACAGGAAAAAATAACTTCAGCAGATTATTTCGGTATAATGTGGGAAGCCCAGGGATAGAGTTGTGTCCAGGCTTCTCTGTGAGCCCAAAAGGATTCTTAGTTCAACCTAAGTGGTTGTCAGAGTTTGCTAAGGTTGACTTCTGAAGAGAAGTTGAGAGGGTCAGGAATTAGCCAGTTAAAAGAGACTGTGTTCTTGGACAAGAATCTGCATGGGTAAAGGTGTAGAGGTGAGACTAACAGTTCAAGCCTATAGAATTGTAAAATGTGGAGAGTAGCAAAAGAGGAAACGGGGTGGGAATGTGTTTTGTGCTTCCCCTTCATACCCAGGCTTCACTGCGCCATCTCATTTGAATTACTGTTCTTTTTTTGCTCTACTTTCGAAGTCTTTTTATCTTTCATTCTCATTAGAATGGGCACAACTTTTTTGTGTGTTTTTCCTCCGTAAGGTTCATGGAGCATATTGAATTTGTAAATTTTATGTTTTTCACATCAAGTTTAGGAAATTTTCTGGCATTTTTTAATTTTATGTACCAGTTTCTCCTTCCCTTTTGACATTTCAGTGACATAAACATTAGATCTTCTGACATTGTTCCCTTAATCACCGAGTCTCTATTTACTTAAATATTTTTTCTCTCAGTTTATAACTTCTAATGCTGCATTTTCAGGTTCACTTACTCTGTCCTTTGTCATTTCTATTTTGCTGTTGTGCCTGTTTGGCGATTTTTTTTTTTTTTTTTTATTTCCTAATGCAGTTTTTTTTTTCCTAAAATATCCACATAGTTCTCTTTTAAGGTTTATTTCTCACCCAAGAACCTCAGTATTTACATCCATTTCACTAATGCTCACTTTTATCTTAAGGAGGATGATTATAGTAGTTGCTTTAAAATCTTTGTCTTTTTTTTTGGTACCTGGGATCAAACTCAGGTCCTTGTGCTTGAAAGGCAGGCGCTGGAACCACTGAGCTAAATCCCTGGCCCTAAAGTCTTTGTCTTGTAAGTCTGACATCAGGGTTAAGGGGTAGAAGAGCTTTTTCATGTTGAATAATTTTGGATTGCATCCTGGAAATTTTGAATTTTATATTGTGGATTCTTGGTCTTGTTAAAACCCTTGCAGGGATGTTCAACTTTTAGGCTTGTCCGGGCTACACTGAGTGAAGAGGGATTGTCTTGAGCTGCAAATAAAATACATCATATAGTTACTTTCAAGCGCAAGGGCCAGAGTCAGATCCCTGGTACCAAAAAAATAAAACAAAGCAAAACCATTAAAACGTGTTATAGTTAATGTATATAAGTAACACAATTTTCTTTTTTAAATATTTGTTATAGAACATTAAAGGAAAAGACCGCTGCGCTGCATGCCACAGGTTTCACATGCCTGCTGGATAGTGTTGTTTTTGTTTTAACAGGCAAGTTAATATGACTAGGTTCAGATTGTACATTTTGTTTTGCCTTCTGTGTGTGGTGGTTATGTCACTCTTCCTTATGCTATTTGAGCCTGATGCTTATACTTCTAGGGGTTTTCATCTTGGTCTTGGACAGTAGATAATATAGTTCAGTTCCATAAATCTTTGTTACACTTCCTTGGCTGCACCACATGTGGACAGCTCAAGGTTTTGCTTGGAACTTCTCATTTGACGGGATTTTTTTTTTTTTTTTTTTTTTTTTTTTTGAGGCAAGATCTCACTGTGTAGCCCAGGCTGCCCTTGAACTCATAGTGATCCTTTTGCCTCTGCCTCCTGAGTGCTGGGATTAACAGGCATGTGCCACCATAGCTGGCTTTTGCCAGGATTCTTCCTACTGATATCTTCTGTAGGATTCTTGTCTATCCTTGTACCCACTTGTTGTTTCATATGATCAGAGAGACAGGTTTTTCTCAGTATCAACCTTCTTATTAGAATAGTTCACTGAACCTGGAGCAACCTTTAGGGCAATGATAGGAAAAGAGGAAGGAGAAGGAGATTCTTGCCATATTCTTTAGGCTACACAGACTCTTTAAACTGCTGCGGTTGTTGGTGGTACAGCTTTGATGTTGGCAATAGCCTTAGGCAGGGCTGGGATGTAGGAGAGGAACAAAAGAAAACTTGGGATTTTTTGCATACCTTCTAGGGGACTCCCCTTCCCTTAGTCTTCTGGATAGAAACAGACTTTTCTTTCCTCCTCCTCCTCCTCCTCCTCTTCCTCCTCCTTTTCTTCTATTCTTCTTTTCTGTATTCTCTGTGTAGTTCTGGGATTAGGCCTTGGACCAGATCTAAAACACAAAAAAGGGACCAAAGACAAAACAAAAAATAAACTGAAATTCACATGTGTAGATGGTTATTCAGATTTCAACTTTGACCCTCCATCTACCTGTTACTCACTTTTCAGAGTTCTGAGGTAGCTTTTAAAACCTATTTCTCTGAATTATTTAGTTGTGAGTGAAGAAATAGGCTATAAATGTAAACACATGTTTGGAGTGTTGTAAAACATATTTTCGACCTTAGGGCCCCAAGTTAAAAATGAGTGTTCTTTTGTTTACATAGAAATATAGTTAAAGTCTAAGGCAGTGCTTTTAGTTTTTGTTTTCTTCTTCTTTGTTAACTTGTATGTAGTTCATTCTTTTTGTTTTCCATGTGTAAATTCTCAGTTTTGGAATGAGAAATGCAATACAATGGAGCTCTCCAACAGGAAGAATATTATATAGTTGCATATAGCTATTATAGCTGCTAAGATTTTTTTACAGAGAACTTAGAATTTGTTGTCCTTTGGGAGTAAGTAGAAGGGGCAAGGCTTTCAGAGACTGAATTTGCAAGGTGTTAACTTTGTATGAGGAAGCACTCAAGAGCTTGCACTTGGTTATTTTTACTGCTGCTTTTCTGAGGTGCAGTGTAGTCCACACTGGGGCTTTGTAGGTGTTGCTACTAATCTTCTGTAAATATTCAAGTGGCTAATACTCTTTTGGGGGATGGTTAATGGTAATTGAACGCAGGGAACTCTACCACTGAGATACACTTCTGGCCCTTTTTATTTTTTCACTTTGAGACAGCGTCTTAGTAAATTGACCACTTTCGCTTCAAACTTCTGATACTCTTGCCTCAGCCTCCTAGGTAATTGGAAGTATATAGTCACTGTACCAGGCTGATAGGGTTTTTTGTTTGTGATTTATTTTCTAAGGCATGTTTTATTTTTCTTAGATGTTCTCTAGGAATTTAACTACCAATCCTTATTTTCTGTCTTTATCTCTGGTGATGTTAACCACTTAATAACATAAAGATAAATATTTCAATTTAATCTTTTTAAGGATTAACTGAACTACTTCATTGTTATGTGGATTTGCGTGTATGTTCAGGTCAAATGTCTTCTGAACGCTATCTCACACTTCTGAACACTGACTCAACATAATTAGCATGAAAGATGTATGCAAAGTCTGACCCTCAAGAGAAATTGGCACTGTACACTATGAATTATTTAGAAAGAAAATATCTTACAAAGGATATAAGATAACTTGAGGGAAGATAGGAATGGAGTGCAAGGCATGAGAGATACAGAGTTAGTTATCTAATAGAAGCAGTAATTTCAGAAGGAGCTATGTTGAAATAGAGGCTTTTCCCCTGATTTTAAATGGATTTTTATGAGTCAAAGGCTTAGCATGACATTAGGACTTTGTTGCTGTCAGCATTTTGATCATGTCAAACACAATTCCTATCATAAAAAATTTTAATTTTACTTTTAACAAAGTAGTGAAAGCTACTTCAGATCTTGAATCATATTTCACCCAAAGCTTTTCTTTTTAATTCAACCAGTTAATTTCTCTTCCCTGTGTCATAGTTAATACTTCTCAATATTTCATCTTCCTAGTATTCCAAAGTTATAGTTCATTACTGAAGCACTCAACCCAGCAAAAGTAATTAGTGACTTTGGGGGTATTAGTTATTGATGTAGAATAATGGTTTGACTAAGCATCACTAAGTTAAGGTTCCATTTTTAGTTGATTTCTTGACTAAACATGAATAAGTGATTTTTCTGGATCTCGCTTTTTTTTTCTTTTTTTCTTTTATTGAGTTTATTGATACATTTTAGTTATATAGCACAGTTACATTCATTATTGGGATCTTGTAAAGACATGACAGGTGGTCTTGGTTCTCATTTTTTCGCCTTGTCCCTGCCCTCCCTTCACCCCCTCCTCTCCTCCCCATTTACAAGCACTTTATTTCCATTTTCTCATATTTTTCCCTATTACCTTTCCCCTACCCTTCCCACTTTCCCTATACCTTTAGCCCTTTTCTTCCCATTTCACAATGTCAGTTACCTCATTGGATCTCACTTATTAAGGGCTATATCTGGTCGTCTCCCAAAGATTCATGCAGTTGTGGAAGGTGATTGAATTATGGGGCTCTACACGTGCCTTGGTGTCCACATGTGGGAAGAGATGGGTCATTGTTAGTGTGACCTAAAAGGGTTTATCTACCTCCCTGGCTTGCCCTTCCTCTCTGCATCCTGTCCACCATGCCCTTCTCCTATGCTGGAACCAGATGACTGTGAACTGAAACATGAGCCAAAATAGACCTCTCCTCCTTTAAATTA